CGGCTACGGTAGGAATCAGATTCACAGGAAGTGTGACAACGCTGCATGCTTCCAAAAGCCGATAAATCAGAACAAGGGGCGCGTGGGGCATTAGGCTCTAACACATTTTTCTCGGGCGAAAGAGGAGAACACGAGAAAAAAAGTCCGTTGTTAGGACGGGATGTTAGGAATTATGATTGGAAAACTGGTTGTTAATGAGGGGCCAAGAGTAGTGGGAGGTTGGAAAAAATGTTTGTTCAGTCCTTCCCTGGTGTTTTTTCCCTTTCTCTTTATTTTAGATACTTTGCATTAATGACTGTTTTCTTGGATCCTTATACGATAAACGTTTAGAACTTTGTCACTTGTATAGATTGATGAATTTTCCTTGTGGGAACCTTAAAAACATAAGTGCAGAAAAATCAATCAACTTTTGCAATTCTGAATCTTTTCCACTCGATGTTGCTCCGGCATCAAATCAAGAGGACATAAAGCCATGATGCCGCCATAGGAATAAGCTCTCCCTGAAAGTCCGTCTTCGATCATTCTTATCAAATTGGATAAAATGTTTCTTGTTTTGTTTTTTCATATACATACATAAGAGTCGCTCTCGCAGCGCTCTCTGGCGCTCTGCGACGCCTAACCGCCACAAAACTCGGTCCTCCCACAGGTCATCAGGTTTTTTATATTATTTTTCATTTATTTGCACACATGAATCCACTGATAAAGTTACACTTACATGCTCATAGAAGTTTTAAAATTGTGTTCTTAATCCTATGACCAATGTTTAGGAATCTATCATAAAATTAATGTAGTTACTTTAGTAAATACGCATGGGAAAGTGGACATGATTTTAACTCTTAAGTAGTTAACGAGTGCGTGGAAACGTACTTGTAACATGAATAATAACCCCCTTAGCCATATGCCTCTTCTTAAATAATGGACGGAAAATATACGAAAATAAACGGAATGAAGCAAACATGTGAATGCAATTTTGTTTTATTTAAGGAAAATAAATAAACATAAAAAAGAAATGGCTAGTGACTTATAAATTTCGATAGCTTCCGGTTCAATCGTTAATAATTAAACTAGAGGTAAATTTAAAACACGGAAAAGCGGGCAGTACACCCATTTTTAAATGCTGATTTTATTTGTCGCTGTGTGCATTGCACATCAGGCACACGAGTGCGGTGCCTACATTTTTTGTGATCCTAAAAAATGGTATTTGAGCCTGCTCAATTTATTTTGGATTTCTTCAAAGTTGGTAAAGTTCTAGGTGAAAACCTAGAATGTACAGGGTATCTCATGGCTCAACAGTAAGATTACAGGAGTTTCCCTTTTGAGTCAAAACACTACTTTTCCCTTCCAAACAGTTTTTCCTTTGCAAAGGTCTCTTTCCTCGAATTTTCGGAAAAATCATAATTTTATGGTAATTTTAGCAACTTTGTAGACCAAAACTATAAGCAAATGGCTACCCTCCTCTCCCCGTACTTTTTGCTTAAGCATCAAATTAATCCAAAACCTCAAACACATCCAAAATATCAAGTTTAAAGGGGATTTCATGAAGTTTCAGGCTGTATTGCATTTTTCAGGGCAAGCAACTTGATTTTTTGCCTATTCTAAAGCTAATTTTTCGGAAACTTAGACCCGGGAGAAAAAATTCTAATTATCGTTTTTCGAGATTATTTTACGCTCGATGCCATAGTGCCTCGTTTATCATCCCTCCTCCCACCCCAATCTCTCAGAGATAATCACCTAGCAATTGGTATTAGGCGGGGAGCTTTTGGGTCAGTCAATGAACCACACTCTTGAAATCGATGTGTGAATATACCGCAAAGAAATCATCATCCGGGTTTGATTGTTTGGTTTGACCGGTGCGCTAATAACAATAATTAGGGCTAACAGCATAGTGCATCAATGAAGCTATCTGCGCTGCGTTATCCAATATTGTTTCTCATTGAGAGTGCGGTATAACTGTCTAAATACGTTGCGCGGCTAGATTACAGCTGCCGGTACAGTTATCAGCGTGGCCCAGGTACCCAGACACATTAATATTTTTACTTCTATTTTGAAAACGTTGTCAAATATTTGGACTTTACGACCTTTATGCTGGAATATAAAATACAATAGACGGATCGCTTTCAGGCAGGAGGGCGTAAAGTTTCAAAAGTAGTTTTTATAGGAGAGGTAAAAAACTGTTTTCTCATCAAGCATCAGGTCAGGATGACTAAATTTTTTCCGGATTACTCAAAGAATGAGTCAACATCTCTTTAAGAGTTCTGAAATTTTTTTCGAAGGCGGGGGGTAGTTCGTACCTTTCTAGGCTAATTTAAAATCATTTTAAACTTACACTCTTTTAAAAGAAAACGAGAGACAGCTGAGACATTTTTAAGCCCAAAAATCGGTTTAAATTGAGTTTTGAAACTTTTATCGCTCATTTTCGTTTTTAAGTTAGATGATGGAGTTATGATATGTAGATAAAAATAAAAATTTGGAGGTATTGCTCGCTCCTCTCTCCCTTTCAAAACAATTTCCAAAACATTTGTAAACATTTGTTTTTTCAAAAACACTCCAGAAGGGGAAAATAAAAAGAAGAAGAAGAAGAAATGGGGACTTTCGCCCTTCTACCAGCAACCTATTCAATATGGCTGAGGCTGAGAAGCGACTCCAAAGTATTCCGATTATATTTTAGTATTTTTTGTACACTGGGCCATACTTTTCCGAAACTCAACTAGAAGTCAAGATATAGCAAAGAGTCATCAATGTAATGATTTAAAATTGAGACTTTTTATACTTACCTTATGGTAAGCTGGGAAAAAAGTTCGCGTAGGTGAATAAAAATTCCTGTCTTTGAAATCAATCGAACTCCTTGCTTTGTGAAATTGAATTTCTGATTCGTGAAATCGATCGTTCGGTTTGCGTATCAAAACCTTAATTTTTCCGCAGTCCGGTTAATTCTGAAAGTTCGGTTATGTTAACCAAAAGTATACTTACACAATTTAAAATTTAAGTCCGACATCATACCAGACAATCTGATTGATTTTCAACACCAAACGCTTGCCTCACGTGATCATCTTCTTTTCGCAGTGTGGCGTAAAAATCGTCTGGTTTCATATTTAGGCTGAAATTTTTTTTGTGACCATTACCATGCTAGTCTTTCTGAATAAAGTCTAAGGTCGGTTAAAGGGTTGAGTGATGAGATTTATAATTTCATTGCCACGTCTTGGTGCTTTTTTTGTGAAGTCACATTTCTCCTAACCGTGTATACGACGCATGTTATTCTCAGTAATTAACCTCGTCAACAATTATCAAAAAATAATCACTAAAACCTGTGCGTGACCACATAGTATCCATGGGTCAGATTCATCTCTCACAACGTCCGCAGAGCTGTCAAATTGGGATAAAAAATGAATGCAAGTGATATTGTAATATTTAACATACTACTGAGATTAATGATGACCTAAACAATCAGGAAAATTTTAGTTCTTAACTGTTTATCAAAAATAAAGTTCAGGGGAAAATTTAAGTATATCCAGCTGAATGAAATAATTCATTAAATAGCTGCACAAAAATTGAATGCATTTCGGTACCATAATCAACTGCCCTTATTTGCTTTAAAGCCAGAAGGAAGCTTCAAAGCTAAAAATAAAAAAATAACTTTTGAAAAATAAAAAGGCGATAAACTAATTTTTTAGTGAAAATCTTAACTTAAATTAGTAGATATGAAGACCCAACTCTCAGATTGAACAGGATTGCGAAAAGTTTGGTAACAAAAATGAAATTCTGACAATGTTGGGCAGCGTACATTCGTGTCATATGACTGAAAGGTATGATATTGTGATCATTACTTAAAATTAATTTAGTTCATTAGTTTTGGGATTGAGATTCATTACTTTCAGTCTATTTTAAATGAAAGTTTAACTAGTCATGTATTATTTCTACACATGAGTTTCATATAAAAATCAATTTTTTCTCACAAAATCATTCTATTGTAATTGAAATGCTCCGAATGCTCGATTTAAAATCGAAAGTGGGGTCCCTTCAAAAAATTTAGTTTGAAAAACTAAACATCTCTGGCGACACGAATAACGTGATATAATGCCATTTAGATTCCACTGAAGTGACCCTCGATTTATGACGGCATTCAAGGGTGGAAAAGGCAACCATGCACCCGACAGAACTCGCGAGCCGCAAGATTTAATCCGAGGTCCGTTTCAAAATAATTCCGAGCCGAAAAATGTTTTCGGCGACCCAAGCTCGGAGGGCCAACGGGCCATCGGACCATCGGACCATTGGGCCATTGTTCACAGCTCGGTTTCCGAAACTGGGTGAACTAACCGACCGATAACCCGGAGTTAATGACGCGCGCCTCTGCCAGGGAACACGGTCGTAGACCGGGGTATGTGGGAGGCAGGCGGGAGGATAATTATCATCAACTCCGGCAATTTTGGTGGCGCCTCGGTTTTGGACACCCTCCCCTTCCCCCCTCCCGCGGAATGCAGGCGTGGGAGGCAATGCCGGTTGCATTGCAGAAATGCCAGGCAGTGTGAGCGAAGCGGGATTTTTCAGCGTCCGGAATGGTGTCAGTTTTTCGCCGACGCGACGCCACGATCTTGATATCGGGTTAATTGCGCTAGTTAGAATCGCGTTCTGATGGTTTAAGCTCGCTCAATTGCTCATGCTCAGCTATCGCTCCTCGAAAAGCACGATGAATGACGTCATCCACTGCGGTGGGACAATAGTACATCCCCACGGTAAGTGGAAAGTGGGTATACTCTTCCCAACCCTCTCGGCCAGAGTTCGGCTTCAGCCGCAGAGCTGTGGCGCGAAATATATTAGTCGACAGCTACGCAGTCTTGGCCGGAAACAAATGTAATCGTTTTACCAAGAATGCAAGAGCAAAAATATAATTAGCTGACCTTACCTAAATTTTGAAACAAAAAACATCTCTTCCCTCCTATATTATTACTCCAGTGTCTCGTATTCTCTATTTTCACAAATACTTTGTGTTCTTTGTGTTTCAGGCATGCCTCGCGCCCGCACACTAATTTGATGATGGAAGCTAAAAAAGTAAGTAAGAGTAACGTTTTTAGATATTATACAGGATAATTCCGGACCCCCCCCCCCAAGATAACTTCCGAATTGTTCGCCTAAGATATGTCAAGGGCAATTTTCGAATGGGAAGCCATAAGATACCTCAGTTTTAATTGTCTGCTAAAATGTAGATTTCCGAAAACTTCCATTCCAATTGTGAAGCACGTCCATCAACTGATAGTCCATGTGCCAATGGGTCATCTCTTGTATCATTCATTTGAGTCCAGGGGAAGTAACCTTGCGTTTCGAAGGGGAAAAAGTGCCATAGAACCCTCCGATCGTGTAAAATTGAAGATTATAAAATTGAGGAGTATTTTTTTGAGAGGAAAACTAATCGTGCAACTGAGAAAAGAGTTGAAAGTTTACTTCACGCGTTCTTGCAAGGGGAAAAACTGCTTAATGCATCCAAAATCATGATCGTTGACGCTGGAAGGTGCATCAAGTCAATGCGTGAAGTATTCCTCCAGTCTCGTAGGCGCCAACATGCGGTTCGCGCCGACTGGCGACCGCACCGTGTTAGGCACAATGCGTGTAGTATTCCTGCAGTCTTGTAGGCATCAATATGCGTTTCTCGCCGACCGGCGCAGCGATTTTTTTGGCACCGTATTTGGCGAGATTAGAAACGACGACAATGGCCCAGCCAAAAAGTTTCATGAGGAAATGGAGCGGGGGATACAGGTAAAAAATCCTGAAAATCAAGAAAGATGACGTTTCATCCGGTCCGAGGGGCAATGGGATCCAGACCCACTTGACCCCTACTGGCTACACCGCAGCACTTGAAACACTCTGATTAGTTTTATTATTAGTGTTTTTCTCATAAACTCGTTGAATTTTTCTTGTTTTTTTTTTCGGTCCAAGATAAGTGCTCTCTTGCGACCTTCACGGGCGCTTTTTTAAATGTGCGTGAAGATTAAACTTCCCGGAAGCGCGTCAGTCGCCCTTTGTTTCCAATGGCGCAGACGGGGGGGGGGCGGAAGTAGAATGAAGGAAGAGATTTTCCTCCGACCCAGCACCATGCCGCGCACCGACTGAGCGGCTGCCTCAGTTTCAAAATTGACGGCTCGCTAAATTAAATAAACACTGGAGCGCCCTCTAAATCCAGGTGGGATCCTCCATAATTTTGAGTTCGCCGCTCTCAGTCGCGCCTTGTTGGCGCGTTTCTTCCGTGACCCCTATTCCCACACCACATTTTCAAAGGGTATTTTCGGACGTCTTTGGAACCCTTGGATTTATCCCTCGTACTGCATTAGTGAGATCAAGTCTTTTGGGTGCAGTTCAGGGAATTCTGCTTTGTAAGTTAATTGAATCGGTTTCTGGGAAAGGCGTAAGTCCACCGATTCAAGTTTACCAAAGGGGCAAAAAACTGTTTTTTTGTCAAACGGAATGACTAAAAATTTTCTGGAACGTTGAAAAGATAGGTGGACATCTGATTGACAGTTCTGAAATGATTATTATTGGAAGAATTTATAGTACCCTTTTGACCTCAGTCAAAAGTGAAAACCTGCTACATTGTCATACAGTACATATACATGTAAGTCAAAAGTTTGATTGTGGGTGTCATTTATAAAATGCAGTTTTTTTCTGAGGCGTCAGCCATGGATTTTTGTTTTCACTCGCTTTTTTAGGGGCATCTATACAAAAAATCCATGGCTGATACAGTAAAAACTGCTTTTATATATGTAAGCATCCAGGAGAACAGAGACCTAAATGCCAAAAAACTACTTGCTGAAAAATGGATAGGTATTTCTGCATATATGACAGGTTTTTTTCATTTTTTTTCTTTTCAATGTCTCATTATAAGATTTTAAAATCATCTTTAATCGAAAATTTCGTTCACTTAGAGGAGAAAAAATATTCGACCTTAATGTAGAATGTGAAATAGGAACTATACGTTACATCGTCGGGGGCAAAGTGCAGACGCTTAGGCACTGCAGTTGCTCCGAATCGCAACATTTTCAGATGACACACCTTGCCGCCGCCACCGACCCCCCCCCCCCCCNGAACTCCCGGAGACATCTTTGCAGGGCTTTTTCACAAATCTAATTTCAACTTTCCAAACTTTCAGTCTCGGGATAAAAGCTCGGCGACGAGAGTATTCCGAGAGCGAATTTACGCTACGGTTGTCAGCTGGGGCCGAATAACATTTGAGGCTCCGCCAAAAATAGCTCGGGAGGAGAATGCACTCCCAGAATTTTTAGGCAGTTCTGAGTCTGTGTATATGCAGGTAAATGTAACATTTCCGACGCTAAGTCCCAGTCGGAGTAAATATTATACAGGCTTCTTTTGCTATCAAAATCGACGACGCACTGAAAAAAAAATCTCGGTGTATTTACTGAGAAAAGGGTAAAATTACCAAGAATTCAGGGTTCTATTTGATCCCAGTTTTTTCTTTTTACCGAGAAATATCGGTAAAATTATTGACTTTCTCGATAATTTTACTGGACCCCGGTAACAACGCCAATATTTTTTATCGACTGTGGTGGAATTACCGAGATAAAATGGCAAAGTAACCGGGAATTGATTACCAATAAAAGTGGTATTCTTACCTGAAAAAAAAACAGTAAAAATACCAGTTTTTAGGTAAGCTTACCAGTCTGTCTTGGTAAAATTACCAAAAATTGGTAAAAAAAAGTGAGATGGTATAGGTACCAACGGACCTTGGTAAAAACGCCGAGAATTTTTTTTCAGTGCGAATCATCAATGAGAACGATTATGAATACAGTCCTAAGTCATCGTTTCCTGGACGAAAGAACGTAATCGCTTCGATTACTTCAACGACTTTATAGACGGGACCAGTTGAAATTATTCTCTATATTTGTAGATTCATTCTTTTTTTTGTTATGAAAGTTTGACACATTTGTGAAAACCATGTGCACAGATCAACAAATAAAGCTTTTTTTTACCTCACAAGATTTCTCCTGATATTAGTAAGAACCAAAGACGAGTCGAGGACTTAGAGTCTTGGGTCGTTTTCATGCCCTAACCATTAAAATTTTAAGAATAGAAAACTAAAAAAAACGAAACGAGAAATGAGAGAGGTAAATTATTATAACTACATTCCAAGGTTACACTATTGACTCAAACGATTCAGTTTTGAACAAGAATGTGCCTTTGCATTTACTGTTCAAAATGTTTCTGATTTTTGCATGAGCTCAGAAGATAAATCAGCGTAGTTTTCAATTAAAAACGCCCAAGATTCTTCTGGTAAAAATGCAATTTATGGGGGATTCGGCAACAATGAAAAGTAGTTACGTCCTTTCCAATGGCGTGGCGTGCTTTGCGATGTATCGATTGATCTGTCATTTAAACCTATGGAAAATGATCGATAAACAGGAGGGTGTTCGCAGCGAACACCTTAATAATCGATTCTTTACCATGGGTTTAAATGGAATAACAATCGATAAATCGCAATTCACGCCACGCCACTGGTCCTTTCGAGAGAGAAACAACGAATCGTGTCATCGTGCCAAAAACTCTGCGTTCATCTTGCAAAAAGCTCGACAATCCTGCATGCTGTAAGTTGTGATTGAAAATTGTTGAGAGTGTGGAATCGTCGATTCCACACTTTTGGAATCATTTTTGCTGTGTGATCGCCCGGCTAATGAACTCGGAAAGTATTCCGAATGAAGGGAAACAGTCATTTCGTTGACCTCCGCACGAAGGAACGTAACTCGATTCCAAGGTTGCAAAATTGTCTGGAACAATTTATTAATTTACGAGAATATACATGCAGAATTTTTTCCCGAAAATTTGTCTGTTTTTTGCACGAGGTCGGAAGAAAATTCAGGAGTATTTTCAGTTAAAAATGGAAAAAAATTCTCTGGGTAAAAATGCAATTTGTGAGGGGAAATTTGGCAACATTGAAATTTAGTTACGTTCTTTCGTGCGAGAAACGACGATTTTATGCTGAGTCGAATCAGAAGTCGCGATGAACTGCGAATCGAAACGTTAGCACCCGCGCTAGCACTTGAAACAAATCCGCCTCTCCGCTCAATCCGGCTCTGAATCGGTTATTTTCTATATTCGCGGCAGAAGCAGGGCTCTTTTGTCAGGGAAAAAGAGAAAATAAATAAATAAACAAACAAACAAACTAAATTAAACAAAAAAAGCGAGCAGCCTTGTGGCGCGTGGGTCATCCTCGGTCATATGTCGCAGTTTCTAGTCCCACGAAACGTGCATTCACTACGTGATTACGAGAGAGGGTTTTTTTCCCTCCTGCTTCGATGCCGAGCTATTGGATTCGACGCCCCTTTGTAATTTAACGACTAAATTGAAAAAACGTTGCCAGTGGTGCACAGAGATTCCAGACGAATAGATGTCACCCCTCAACTTTAAAACAAATTCAAAAGATATTTAGATATTTTGGGGTTGCCGTTTTGGAGGGCCGGTTTTAGTAATACATGAGGCATTTTTGCTGACTTTTTGAACTCCCTGCCCCCTTGTGAGGTACCTGTATGATAAACACTCTTTTACCCCGGCAAGTTACGCAAGTACTCCTTATCGATCCACCCTAGCTTAATTTTCTAGAAAAATTACTGAAGAAGTCTGAAAAACAGCCATAACGAGCTTATTTTTAATCGGGATGTTTCTTAAAAGTCAAGTTTAATCAAGCTAACAGAATCAGTGACAACCAAATCGAAAAACCCAATGTATAACAGAGAGAACAAAATGAGAAGGGCAAGAAAATACATAACAAGGGCTTAGGAACAACACTGCCGTGCTAAGGAAAAACGCCGTATGAACATTCGAAGGTTGGCAAGTCTCTAGCGATTAATTATTTATTTTTGGAGGTAGTCAAGAATATTTTTTCTTGAAATTTTCAGATATTTCAGATAAAATTGCTATTAAAAATATTTGACAAATTGGAAGGATAATGTTAGCAAGCTCCCCAGAAAATCCGTGGTTTATCATACTAAATTTGGCAATGTCTAAGAGCTCATACGGCGTTTTTCCCTAGTACGGCAGAACACCGCCCA